TGGACAAAAAATGTAATACCAATTTTTTGCGGCTTCTAAAAAACTCCAAAAACGTTGATTAAAAAAAAAAGTTGCATGGCCACGTGACTTCCGGTATCTTTCTCCTCCTTTATATTTCCTCTTCCTCCCCAGTGCAGTTTCGATTCCGGTTTTGAGCAGTTGCGTTCTTTTTTTTATATTAAAAATGTATGTGACAGTAGCAAAATATTGATTGGGTAGTCTTCCAACATCATAGTAAATCTCCTAGTAAAAAGTTTTAAAAAAAGTGTTTTTTCGGCGTGTTAGTGTTCTTTGAAGAGCGGCTGGGCGTAGCGCATGATGTGAACGGTTCTTGCTTTGCGCTTTGTTCTTCGGCGTAATCTGCAATCTCAATGGCTGCGGAGCCGATGCTTGGGAAGAATCAAGGCCCGTGAAGAGCCACGTCACTCCAATCACACTCGGATGGCAGCAACTCGGCCATTGGGCCCGAGCGTCGTTCGACGCACTGACTGCACACGACACCCAGCTGACACTGGTGTCCGTGCTCGATCGCGCTCAGATGACGCCGAAATGTTCATGCACGGGCTCCGGTCCTTCTATGCTGACGAACGGCTAAAGAAATGCACGGCACTCCCGCTATCATCATCGCACTTCTCGAGCCATCATTCGGTTTTCGGCCTTCGTAGCACCGCAATATGGTTGGCTGCAGAACAAGGAGAACAGGCCCCGGACTCGCCACGCAACGCTCTTCTTCAGCTGTCGGCGGTGTTGGCGGTAAAGTGTTACAAGTGACGCCGTTACCCCTACCCGTTACTTTTTACAGCGAAGCTGTTTATGCCTGGGGTTCCGTGGATTTTTCGTGCGCGTCAACAAAAATTCGGGTCCCGAATTTGATGCAAAATCGATTCATTCTAAGCAAAAGCTTATACGTGCCATCACTTGGATATTCATTTTCAGTAGATTAGTTATCAGTAGGCACCATTTCCAAGGTCAGTAGACCCTCATTGATATAATGAAGGTTTCTCAAAGATTTGCCGCTGTGCGAGCCGCGTCGGCCATGTCTACGCTCGCACCGCCCTCTCTTGATCGCCGTTCCAAGCTCCCGCTTGCGTGCCTAGTTTCCTTTCCTTCCGCTCTCCCGGGATGGCGGTCCCGTCGCGCGTGTCTACTTTCCACCAGGTGGCGGTCCCGCCACGCGTGTCCAGTTTCCTCCGGCTCCTCCGGGTGGGTCTGCGTCGTGTGCAAAACAGCTCCGCTGGTCATGCACCTTTACAGAGGGCAATGACTAATGATGTTTTCCCTAACGTAGTAACGGACTCGTTACGTTTCAAAACTGTAACCGGTAAAGTACTAACGTTACTTGTTTCAAGTAAGAGGCAACGTATAGTCACGTTACTCGTAGCATCGTTTTCCCGAAACCCGAAAGAACTATACTTACATCTTTTTTTTCGTGTTTCGATACTTCGTTTTACCTGTAGCCCAGACGCAGTCGCAGCTACGAACTGATGGGACGAATCAAAGTAGAAAAAGGCACCATCATTATGTTCGTCATGTTTTTGAAAGTGTTCTATCGTCGCTAAACCAATCCTACACAGAAAAAGGCCCAGTGACTTCCCCTTTTTACACTGCTTCGTTGGTTCCGTTAGCTCGTAGCACCGGCTGCGTCTCGACTTCAGCTAAAACGAAGCATGACGAGCCAATTGTCTGGGCCTCCCACGCTACACCGCACTGTCTTGTTTTTAATATTTTGGATGCACCAAGTCATCAAAGGAAAGCTGAACTTCTTGAGAAAAAAAAACGAATTAGAGGTAAATTTTGTAGTATTTTTATCCCGTGATTAAACGTAAGTAAACGCGAGAAAACACGAAAAACCTCCGACCAGTCATGACGTCATACCCAGATCCTTCGGCCGCCAAGCGCATATCGCTCGTGTGGGCAGCTTACCATGGTAAGGGTGACGCCAGCGGAATCGACGCCGCGTAGCGGCAACGCCGAGAAGCTCAAGAAAGGAGGTCGTTTCGACTCTATAGCTTCTGGTATCGCTGCTTGGTTCTCGTGGGCAACATAGAAACAAACATCATTTCCAGTAATTATTTTTGTGATTCCGCCGTGTCATTCCTACGCACTGTCTAGAAGAAGGTTCCTACCGTCGAAAAATCTATTTGCTTTCATATGCAACACCGATTTTACGCTGCAGTGCGAGAAATTTATGGTGCTCCGCGTGCTGAGCGACGAAAATGACCTCCTTTCGTCCGCCATTTTGCCTGACCAACGCGCCCCCTATAGTTCGCTGGAGTCGCGAATACGCCCTTCCTATCCTCAGCTGCGATCTCCTCATCCCAGCACGCGCATGTTCGTCGCTTCGGAAAGCGAGCGAATCACGCGCCATACGCACCAACACTGAAAATGGATGGAGGCGACCAGGAGCCCTTTTTTGGAAATGTCTCCATTCACCCGCACAGACAAGAGTCCGTGAGGTCTTTTCCTCATCTTTTTGAAGATAGCGAGAGTGAGCGTGAATAGCTTTGATACGCGCTGAAGATGCGAGAGGGAGGAGATTTCTAAAGCGATGTATATGACGTCACGCTCCGGAAAGGAGGGGCTGGGGCGGCACTTTCACAAGGATTTTCTGCAGCCTTCGTGCACCAAGTTAAAAAAAGAAATTCTTCATATTCGTGATCCTGGAGGCCACGTGAACACGATTTAAGTGTTTTTTCCTCAAATACAAAACCACTTCAGTTACTATTTAATTATTGCACTCATTCCACGCGCCTTCAAAATTTTGCCTGGGTTTTTCCTACGCAAAAAGTCCCACTTTAGAAATACCCCAACATCCACGCCCTTTGTCCCGCTGTGAAAAAACGCAGTCGCAAAAAATAAAACGCGGTTACAGTATTGAGACGTTGCCTCCTCTTTTACTACCTTCTGTGGTGTTCTCTTTCTGCCCCAGTCTCAGGTTTACAATCATGTTCAACTTACACCAGCTCGCCTGCACTCTGACTAATTTTTCGTTACAGTAATGTTTCAGGTCGATCGTGGGGTATACGCTGGCTGAAGGGTGGCTCGTTTCCAGTGACCTCAGTGACTCTCAGACTCAGTGGTTCAGTAAATATGAATATATTTACAAATGACGAACAGCCTTTAACAAAACAAAGGAAGAAAACGTCGCGATTCGCGGTACTGTCGCTCGCGAATGTCTCAATTAACGATGATGCGCCTCGGCGCCAGGTGCCCAACCGCGCACCGGTGCGGGCAAACTCTTTCGTCGCGCACGGCAAACTTACGCGGCCCTCGGCCCAGGGGAGACAAACGTAGCGATCCGCAGACCCCTTTCAACTCAACTCGTCCCGGCTCGCCAGGACCTCAAAACCAGCGTGCTGGCACTGGGCCTGTCCAATCAGCGAGATGAAACACTCCTATTGGCCCCAGTGCCAGCACCTTCTCCACGCACACCAAGGGGAGCCGCCAAGGTCTCCCTACCACCCCTTCTGCTCCCACTCCACGAAGACGTCTCCAACCGTCTCTGGGAACAGCTACTCGGTTCGCTTCCCACGCGGCCATGTCAGCCCGTTCCCGTAAATCCCCTTGGACGGTGCCACCAAAAGAAAGGGGTGAACCGTTGGGGGCGCTCTTCACGGATACCTCAAGTCGGGTGACTTGACGGGCTGTCGTGTCTAAACGAGGGGACAATTTCTGGCATCCCTACAGTTACCGTCTATTTATTAATAATAGGGAGTTTTCGTAGATCGTTTTCGCCGTCCCGCAACGTTCTCCGCAACCCGCTACGATACCGGGAACTCTACAGCCAAGGCTATCGGCGCGCAGGCGCAGTAGCGACTTCTTCGTTGCGGTGGGCTTAGCGGAGGGGGAAACGCGATCTACGAAAACTCCCTAACAGTAATGCGAAAGTAACGCGCGTTACGTTTTATTGGTAACGGTAACGATACCGCGTTCCTTTTATTTTGAGATAACGTGGGTCTGTAACGCGTTCGTTTATTTTGCAAGCAACGAGCAACGTCGTTGCTTCATTTCGGTAACGCCTACAACACTGGCTGTCGGTGACTACAGTCGGTAAAACTCGAGCCTCTCAAAACAAGGCGGCTAACAAAGTGTATTTAACGTGTCTACTGCGAGCGATATTTGCTGCATTTAGTGGAACGAATCCCTAAAACCGGCGGCTGATATTAGCTGTTCTTTCCAGATTGTATTATATACACAGGCTGTTTTGTTAGAGAATATGTAAAGCCTCACGAGTACTTCCTTGGATGGCACTTATGAAAATGGTCATGCTTGTCGCCCACAGTTCGATACAGAACCCGAGACAACAACGCAAACAGGACACTCCTCGCTGAAGGACGGGGCGAAAACTCGTTGCTGACACGTTCAGACATAGCCTCATATACTGACCAAGGCTGGCAGATCGCCACGAGAAGCGGACGCCGAAATGGAAAAGGTGGAGCGGCAGACAACGGATGAGATGAGAGCCACGTGACTGGCGCCCTTCTGCGGCGAAACGCCGAAACACACTCCCGACCGAACAAGTGTGTTTTGGGTCCTCGCCGCTGCAAAAGCGATGCGCAGACGTCCAGGTTCCCCGAGAAATGACTCCTTGGTGCTCTGTGCTACCAGATCCTCGCGCTCCAAATCGGCAACCGGGCACTCTATGGCTCCGTCGTCGAACTGGCAGGCTTTGTGAGTGTAGAGGAGGCTATGGTTCAGACAGGAACGTAGCCGGGGGGGGGGGGCATGGGACCCGTCCTCCCCCCCCCCCCCCCCCCGATGTGTTCCATCTTGCTGGGACCTCCTCTCCCCCTCCCCCTCATACAGCATTTCGTCATGGGTGCCCCCCCCCCCCCCCCCCGAAACAAAATACTGGCTACGTGCGTGGGTTCAAACATCCAGAAACGGCGCCATACAGGCAATGTCGCATTTGGATAGATAGCATGGTACGTCTCCCCGTCGAAAGCAGCCTCTTCTCGGCCAATATCTTATCAACCTTCGGCCACTCCGGCTATCTATAGCATTCTTGTCAAAGCTCTTCTCTACCAGCGCATCCACGCACTCCCGCACGTGAAGTCGCAGCGACCAGAAAGCCGCGCCCCTTGCTTCCGACCAACAATGGCCGGCACTCCAAGCAACGTTATAGAGACGCCGACGACCACCCTGGGCTACTGGGAAGGCGCTCGGGGTATCGTTGTGCCGATTCGCTACATGCTCGCCTATGCCGGCGTGCCGTACCGCTTCAAGACCTACCCTTTCCGCGGCGGGGCCACCCTAGAGGAGTGCAAGGCGCCCTGGCTGGAGGACAGGGCGGCCCTGGCGGAACAAGGGCTGCCCTTCCCGAACCTGCCCTATCTGATCGACGGCGACGTCCAGCTCACCCAGAGCCTGGCCATCTTGAGGTACCTGGCCAGAAAGCACGGCCTGGACCTGCCGGACGCTGACCCCGGGACTGCGGCCAGGTTGGACATGATTGAGGCCCAGGTGAACGACTTCAGGTACGTGTGTGGTCAATCAACACCCGATTTGGCACCAAACAGGACTGGCCGTATTATGAAATAAAAAAAAGAAGGAAGTATAAGCTCAACTTGTACCACTATCGGGGGAATTTCTTATCGACGCCGATCTCAGCGCTTGCTGCCAGGAATTATATTGGTTGGCCGCTTGTGGACCAACACTCTGTTTACAAACAATTTGCGTTTCCCCGCAATGCAGAGTCTGGGTCCAATTCCCCACCCTTGCCCTTTTCGATCCGGTGAGCCCCGTACCGGCATGCGATCGTGGAATAACTGCGGCGTGCTGCGTTTTAATTAAAGACCTCAAGCTCGCAGTCGAACAGAAGTGGCCAAATGTCGCCCCTACAGCGTGTAAGAGCGTTGCCATAATCATGCAGACTGAACTCACGCTGTCTAAACATTTTACGTGCATTTATGTTTTATTTTCGCATCACCCCGCACCAAGTGCGGGTACCGCAAGTGCGCAAGAGCCAGATCCGCGCCAACTGAAGCATCTCAGCAACAGTGTCATCAGAGCGGCGTGCACGTCGGAGCCGTGAGTGGGTGTAAACGATGGTGATCGATATAATGAACACCAATACCGATATATAAGTCAGGAACGATCGCTAACCAAGACAGTCAAATCGAATTAGGAACAATATCGCTGTCACTGGGTCCCTCGGGTACTATGAAAGCTAACGACCGGACAGATAAAAAAAAAACAAGAACATAGACTGCTGTTTCTGAGACGATTATTGCAGTATTGTATTTCCTCTCCGCGAAAAATTTTCATTTTTGAACTACTTTTACTTGCTTCTATCATCTACGAAAGCATGCACATTGTGTAATAACAGCGTTTGGAATCTCAGCGAGATGTTGCGTTTTCATTGGTCACATGTCGTCCTGACTGCCGGAACAATGTTCCTCCCATCGACGGACATGACCTCGGTGTGTTCAATCTTTGATTGCTTTTTTTAAAAGGGAAATCGGCCGCGCATCGCTATGATTTATGGATTTCTAGGATGATTAGAGACCGCAGAGTAAGTTACTGCCATATTTAGGCGATCTATGAAAACATTCTCAGGGTAACTTTCAATCCGGGACAATAAAAAATAAAGGGGAGTTTTTTTTTTTTTTTTTGGAATCTTTGTGTCGGCAAATCTAGGGTGCCTCAATGTCCTTCTAGGCAAATCCTTCGTACAGGAATCCTATTGCTCGCCATTGTCGCGGTGGCCCACTGTTATTTCAGTTGAAGTGAATGTAGCCACTGCACGAGGCCATACGGCCTCATGCAATGGCTACGTTCACGGCTATACGCGCACGTGACGGCACATCTCGCCTGATTTCGGAAATCTCGGCCGGTCGCGTATAGGGCTTTCTCACCGCAAAATCCGTTATTCTCGGTAAACAATAAATCCCACGAAACTTCGTGCTTTAGAAAGCACGCCCCCATTTAAGTGTATCTCTGATATAAAATGTCCATGCCCAGCGCGTATCTCACGAGGGGCATATGAAGAAAGCACCCTCAACCACAGCCTCCTCTATACTCACAAAGCCTGGCAGTTCGACGACGGAGCCATAGAGTGCCAGGTCGCAGATTTGGAGCGCGAGGGTCTAGCAGCAGAGAGCAGTTCTGGTATTCAACGCACATCTTCTGCAGCGGCGAGGACCCCAAACATGGTTTTCAAACCCGACGACAAAAGAAGCGGCAGCGCGAGGAACGCGAGGAGCACGAGCGGACATTTCATCGCTCGGGACAGTGTGTTTCGGCGTCTCGCCGCAGCGGGGCGCCCGTTTCATGCCTCCCCTCTCATCCGTTGTCTGCCGCACTACCTTTTCACTTTTGGCGGCAGCGTTTCGTGGCGATCTGCCAGGCTTTGTCAGTATAGAAATGGCTATTGCTCAACATGATGAGATCCTCATGGCCCTTTGCAGTGGGCAGAGTCACATAATAATAGCCATGAATACGCATTCTTCGCTTTGTGGGGGACCTTTGAGATTCTAATGCCGGTCAGTTTCGCTGCGCCACCACTGCTGCACGCATCGTAGAAACTGTAGTCTTTCTGAACGCGCGACAACCCCGCTGCGGGTCTGTGCGAGTAGAACACGAGACGACACGAGCTGTCTTCTGGACTGGCACCTGATCTTAGGAAAGTAGCGCCATTGCCTTCCCTGCCAGCTATACTCGGCGACAACTTTTCTTGGCAATGCAGTGGAAGGTACGTCCCGCGTCCCCTCTCCCATTTTGAGTGTACGCAGGCTCTCCTCCTCTCCCCGAAAATGGGGGAGGAGGAGAGCCTGCGCACACTCAAAATGGGAGAGGGGACACAAACCTGTACCTTCCACTGCATTGCCAAGAAAAGTTGTCGCCGAGTATAGCCGTATACAAAAAAAAACAAAACAGATGTTGACATACAGGCGACCAAACATCGATAGGTGATTATCTGATCGGTATCAGTTGCCATGGCCAATCGCCATTTCAGTTTGTTCGAAGCTTCGAAAGAATCATCCTGAACCAGTCGCACCAAGATCGCTATGAAGTCTCATCGTACTGAAAGCGATCCTCGAGAATGTGGGCGTCGTTGGCGTTGTGCATGCGACCACTTACCAATCATGATTTCTATCTCCGCATACTCTAACAATGGTATTGTTTCGCTCGCTCCTATAAAGACAGTCAAATACTTTTTTCAATGCCGCCAAGCACCGGCGCCGCAGGTGGTGGTGGGACGAAGATGCTCTCGTTTCGCCGTTGTGTGGATAACGAAAGCCTCGGTATTCAAGAAATGTCCTTATAAAGCTGCCCGACACAAGCAAATTCGGATCGACTCACCAAGAACACAGAGGTCAAGGAAAAACTGTTCATTCCATGAACCAAAATGGCGACCATACGGGAGGTTTGGCGCTACTTTCCCAGGATCCAGTGAAATCTGTTATGGCTGGACTCTCTACGCGGATAACAGCTTGATCACCTGCATCCAATCCACATCGGCACACTTCCTACCCGCATTCGAACCGTATTCGCAAAATTCATAACCGGATCCGACCCGCAATACGTGCATTCAATTTCCATAATAAAAGCCACCGTGAATGAAAAACAAGAAAAGTATCTGGATGGTGTTTTATATATATATAGGGTTCCGTGTTTTCGGAGTTTGTTTTTGCCACGAAACTCAGAGGGTGTTCGGAGTTTATTTTTTGCTGAAAAATCGGGGGTTATGGGAGTCTATTTTTTTTTTTGTTTTTTTTTTTTTTTTACATTCTTAAGTTTAATATTCGGAGCTATATTTACTGTATTCCCAATAAAAAAAAATTAAAAATAAATAAAGTTTGGGGACAAACGCACCCTAAATTTATTAGAACTTACCTTTATCGAGGAATATTTCTGCAGCTACATTTGGCATTGGCGCCCTTGTCATTGTTAGCTATCGCACCTCAAATATTGCAATGTGTTGTCTCAATATTGCCGCGCGCAGGGTCACGGACTTGTAGAAAGTTCTCGTTCATTCTTGCTGCGGACATAACTATCGTTCATCCTTGTTTTTGTTGTTCTAGAAAGTGCTTGTTCATTCTCGCCCCGAGCACGCTACGCTCGAACCTTCTCCGCCGAATCTTCGAGATAGTGACTCACTCTAGATAAGAGGCCGCCCGCGACCTTGTCGAGTCAGTTTCGCCCCAGCGCTCGACTCTGCTGTCTCGCCGACCTCGACGCTCGCGACGCTTTGTTATTATTTTCTATTCTCTTTTTGTTTTGGCACAAGTTCGCCACATTAAACGTTTAGTTCTTCCTGTTTATTTATTGTTATTCTGGTCACCACCCGTGACATTTTGGTGGAGGTGCGGGGTACCGCATGCCTGTGCAGCGTTCCCCTCCAAGATCCCGCATTGCAAGTCCGGTACCAAGCCCAGTGAGAAGACCACTCCCCGCGGAACCCGAAACTCGGACCAGCCGGCGCATCAAGGGAGAGGATCCTGAATACGGTTTGCTACTGGACAAGCCCAAGCCGAAGAAGACGACGATGGCCGACCAGGCGCAGGCCCCGGCTGCTCCTGCCGTCGTATACCTGCCCGTCGCACCCAAAACTCCGACGCCGTTCCACGGAGACGCACACGAGGACACCGAGGACTGGCTGCAACACTACGAACGGGTGGCCCGCCATAACGGGTGGTCAGCCGAGCACTGCTTGCAGAACCTTTACTTTTCGATGGAAGGAACTGCGAGGCACTGGTTGGAAAACCACGAGGCTTCTTTGACGTCGTGGGAGGTGTGCAAGCAAGAACTGAAGAAGACGTTTGCCTGCCAACACCGACGTGAGAGGGCCGAAGATCTCCTGCGAACAAGGACCCAAGACCTACATGAGAGCGTCACCAGCTTCGTTGAGGATGTTCTCCGCCTGAGCGCCCGCGCCGATCCTCAGGCTACCGAGGAGAAGAAGCTGCACCACTTGATGAGGGGTGTGAAAAGTGAGATATTCGGCGGCCTCATTCGCAATCCCCCGACAACCGTCGACGGGTTCGTCACGGAGGCGACGAATATGGAACGGGCCCTACAAGCACGCGCCAGACACTACCAGCGACACCCCGGCGTAACCACGACATCCGGATCCGACCTTGGCACCACCCTCCCCGGCATCCGTGAAATTATCCGTGAAGTCGTCCAGGAGGAACTCAAGAAGCTCTTGCCCGCTGCAGTACGCCCGGCCTCACTCTCCATCGCCGAGGTTGTGCGGGAAGAAGTCCAGAGAACCTTCCAGAAAGAGGCTCCCGTCGTCGTGGCAGCCCCCGAGGAGCCCACGTTGACTTACGCCGCAGTGGCTCGACGGCCACCGCCTCCTCCTCGTCGCACCTATGTCGCGCCGCCCCGACGTCAGTCTCCTGCGCCGCAGCACGACCGACACCACGACGACCAGGTCCAGTACGCCTGCCCGGAGCCTCGCGCACCCCGCAAGACCGACGTGTGGCGAACGCCCGACCGACGCCCTCTGTGCTTCCATTGCGGGGAAGCG